ATGATAGAGAGTTTTTTTAATGTAAATTTGATGTTGTTGTTGTTGTGTTTTTATAATTGATTTATTTTACATTTTTAATTGTTGTGTGTGTTTGACATTATTATTTTCTCATAAAATATCTAATTTATATATAGCATGATAAAATTCCTAACAACAGTATTAGAGCTTTGCTTGGAATATTTGTGAAGTAGAAATTATTTGATACCAGCTTACTTCATATTTATATTTTTTTAAAAAAATTACTTTAATCTAATCTCTCCATTATTTTAAAACAATTATACTAGTAAACTACAAGTTAGTAATGTATGTAAAGGGACATGCGTATATTGCATACTAATTTTGAAAAACGCGCTTAACGTATTAGATTTATGCTTGAATCTGATTTTTACCGTGCCTTAAAAGTTGTCGGAAAATTAGTTCGCTAAGGCAGTTGCTGTATTGGTTACAATTAGTTAGGTGCTGCGTGATTGTGAGCTGGAGTTATTAGAGATTAAGTACGGGATTAGTTATTATGGGAGGAAACACGTTACGAGAGAAGGGAAGTTCGTTGTCAGCGGTTAGGAAAAAAATGTTTTCCTTCTCTCTAGATTTCTCTTATTTCTCCATTTTTGTCCTTCTGTGTTTTCTCGTAACAGCATGCATTTCTTTCACAAACTCCTTGTTAAGTCAAACATCTTGCTTTTGATTGAATAAAACTGAAATAGATTTTATTCTCGTATTTTATTGATTTGTTTCTTAAATTGGAATTTGGATTGCATAACAACACAAGTGTTGAATTAATCAATCACATCATATTCCTCTTATTTTTCACATGTATCCCGCCCCATTAAGTTGATGCTTACCCGTGATAGCGACGGGTGACCCAACGACGAAGGAACATTTAAGAGGTTGAAAAAGCTCCTCCACTGATTCAATTCATCCTCGCCCATACGTTAACCTGTGATAGGATTTAGAATAAAGAACATATTTATCCCTTAACTACTACCTGATTATCAATTAGGTCCCTAAACAAAAACCATTTTCAATTGGATTCCCCATCTATTGGAATTCACCTAATTAAACCTCTCCTTGAAGTTTTTGCTTTTATAATCATATAAAAGAACCAATTAGTCTAAAAAGACACAAGTTTTGTCACAAATTTTAGGATTAATAGCTTAATATGTTCTTATATAATAAGATAATTCTTCAATTTATTCTTATATTCATAATTGAACTAATTTTATTATTGAACATGCATTAAATTTCTAATTTATATTTTTTGACAATATTTTTAGATTAGATCATCGAAATAGTCACGTGACTATTTTTTATTCTCAAAAAGCTATTGCAAGCCAAATAAATTTAAGATTTTAGTGTGCAAATCACATAGTTAATTTTAATACTTGTGCTTGAAAATTTTGTCGAAGAATATATTTAAAAAATATATATCCGGTGATAAAATTGATTTAATTAAAAATATAATTATAAATTGAAAAATTATTCAATCATATAAGGACTTATTAGCCTTAAGTTTTAATGACTGAAGTTAATTAGTTAATGTTTAACAGAAGGGAAATCTAAATGGGAAATTTGGAAAATTGTTTTGTCTGAAGACCCAATTGAGAAATATAGTAGAGTTGGGAGACACATTTGTATAGGTGATAAAAAGAGACTGGCACTAATCGATCCCAGCTCACGAAGGATTCGATGAGGATGGTTTGGCAATCTACTTGATAGATATTCTTACACACACACCCCTCAGTCGCCCCCATAATCAAGATCTGGTCCCCCCAATCAAGACCTAGACCAGGTACTTGATTTCAGCACATGTATATGGCATCTACAGTGTTTTTTTGCAAAAAGACAAGTAACGTGTTTCTCTTTGCGTAATCAAAGTTATAATAACTTGAAGGTCTGGAAGAAAAATCCCAACCAAACATTGGTCTGCAGGTTTTTCCTTGAAGATGGTGAGCATTTGGTTTTTTTTTTAGTTTTTAATATTTTGGTTTAATATTAAATTAACTGAACTCACCGAAAAGAAAAATCAAATCCAAACCAAATTTCTATCATTTTTTCTTTTTGCTTTATGAAGCCAAAAAATTCAGCTTCCATTGAAAATATTTTTTAAAATACTATAAATAGGTAAAAATAATTGTGTTATGGATTATCAAGTCATTTCTCTAATTCAAATACTCTACATTAGTTATATAAAAGATAACACATATTTGTTTAAATAAGACTAAACCACAAACCCAGACAATATGAACAAGCATTAAAATTTAAATATAAGCATGCTAGTCCATATCTAAAATATATAATAATAAAAAATTAATGATTATTCAAATATGTTGTAAACCGAACTATCAAAGTTCAAACATATTCTATATAAAAAAAATCAATTTTTATAAAAAAATTAAAAATTGAATTGAAATTAATTTAATTTTGGCTTTTAAAATTTAATTTAATTAAAAATGAATAAATTAGTATTCTGATTTCGGTTGAGTTCAGTTAATTGATTTTAATCGAATATTTTTCAACCTTATTAACATGTTATTTTTTATTGTCAATAAAAAAAATATTTTTATAGCAATTTGTATGTCGATCCAGATTAAATCTTGTTTTGGGACGATTTTATGAACTTACATTTCACATCAATCCTTTATATTCAGATAAATTTATTGACCTTAGGATTTGAATCTGAAAAAATCAAAGAAGATAAAATATCTTTTTCAATCCCTGGACGAACCCATTCGCGTCTACACGTTATTCTTTGCCAAACTTTTCCCTACTTCTAACGCTAATGGGTTGAAAGAATTTCATCAGTGGTACTGGTCGTAATATTCTCCGATCCAAAGCGATTGCAATGGCTTGGATGCTAATAAGTTTGAATAATAGCCCATGAAGAAGCTCGTCTAACAATCTCGATCCATGCACAATGAGAAGCCCAGAATGAATCGCAGATTTCTTTTTTCTTTTCCCTTTCTCTTAGAAAACCATTATAAGCTTCCGACTTTGCAAGAAAAAATAGAAAGGTGATCAAAACTAATTTGTCGTTTGAAGGAAAAATTAACACAAATGATATTCTTGAAATGCCGTCGGAGATGGATGATAGTTCGTTGAAACTTGGAATTAGGTCTAATTCTCAATTGGATATCCAAAGTAAATTTCTTCAATTAGGTTTCCCGACTCTTACAATTTCTCTATCCTACCCCCGTTATCCACATTTGTTGATGCTTTCTATCTAAATTGCATAGTTTATGCAATAAAATAATCCATTTCAAAATAATTCAACATTTTCCGTTAAAACCTTGTGACGATTTTAGAAAAGGAGCCCAATTGATAAACTCTGATAGGTGAGGGATTCAATTGAAAAATATTCATGTTTAGAGACTACATTGAAAATTAATAGTTGAGAGCTATACGATAGTAGTTTGTCAGTCCAAAATAAATAATCTCCAACGTAATTAATCAAGTTTCATGTCCAGGTTTTTTCACAGATTTTGTAAATTTTTATGATGTACTCTAGATGCGAATCTAAACCTGATTTTCTAATGGTTTAATAACAGAATTACTCCTGAACTATGAAAGTTACAGTATGTTATGACATATATTATTAATTTAATCAATTTTATTCTTCAACTATTATATTTTTATGTAAATATTATCTTTTTGTTTGATTTGGCTGTTAAGTCAAAGGGTTAAACTTTGAAAGTTGATTAAAACTCATCCTAAAGGAATCATATTTTAGTATTTTCAACTAAAAATTTTCACATACATCTTCACAAATAATTTCAATTTTTATTTTAAGTAAGAAATTATTGTTATTACTTTTTGAACCATAACAATTCTATAAATTATGAAAAAATAGAAGGAAAAAAAACTGGAATTATCTCAATTTTTTTTTTTAACTCTAAGGAAGCCATATGAATTTTTGTTCATAATTTTAGTGTGGTTCTCAAAATATTTGCTTATAAGAATCCCAAAATTTCTCTATTTTAAGTTTTGATTTGGTTGTATGCATTCAAGTATGTAAATATTTCAAGAATTGTAATAAGACTAAACAGATAAATAAATACACCTTTTTTATATGGTCTTCTAAAAAAATGGAGATCACTCTAAATTATTTTCTATCTTTTACAATTTTGTATATATTAATGTTTGAACAAATTAAAAAATACTTCCTAATCTCAAAAAAAAAAAAAATGAAATTATTCTGAAACTAGATTGAATTTTTATTAACATATATGAAAATTTTTAGTTCAAACTATCAAAATTTAATAATTGTTTAAAATATGATAATTCAACAGCAAAATTAACTAAATCAATAGTACAAAATTCAATGTGTCGCAACTCCAATAGTTCAGGAACAAAAATATCATCAAACCATTTATTAAGTGAATAATAACAATTAGTCAATCCATTTGGAAATAACATTTGAATGCAATCCCGATTTTAAAGAAATTATGGGGGGGGGGGGGGGGGGGGAGAACATATACAAGAATCTCTGAAAGAGAGGGGTGTAGCTAGAAGCTAGGAATAAGGCCAGCATTGAACTTCAAGAGAAAGCCGCTGGTCCAAGGATCCGACAAAAAACATTCACAAGAATTAATGTATATGATAAACTTGGATATATAGGACGGACAGAAAAAAGAAATCTTGAATAGTAGGGTATTAAACCGGATGAACTAATTACTGAAAATAATTCACTTGACAAAAAGAGTTTTAATTATTTAAATAAGTAATCTTGAATTTGAATCTTTATATATATAAAAAAACTCTTTAAATAATTATCTTTATCTTATGTATATTATAGAACAACATAGTATTAATCAGGACTTTGAGTCTTGATAGTTTAGAGGATAAAAAAAATGAAAATAAAAATAATTGATATTGCTTGAGAGCTAGCACCATTAATTGCTGATGCTGAGGCGATACGAAAGCTAACGTACTAATCAAGAATGAGATGACCAAGGGAGAAAAGCCAAATTTGACAAATTAATTAATTGTTCAGCTTCTTCCTGTTAACAAATGCTTTCAAACCCCAGGTACTCATTCCTCTCAAACTTTTTGATCATGCGTGCCGTGCCAACTCCACCTGTTTGAAAAGAAGCAAAACCCTTCAGCTAAACCATACATACATATATATATATATATATATATATATTTACGAGACTAATTAATGAGACGAATCTCAAAATATGGAACAATATTATATGTTTGTCAGTGCCACAATATACATACCTAACGATATTGCACTCACGAATATTGTTAAGGCCAAAATGAAGATGATTAGAGATGCTCTCCCTAATATACTAATCAGCTTTCTCACCACATGTTGCCCAACCACGGCAGCAATGGTGGTCACGGCGAAGAAGTAGAGAGCTGCATGTGTTGAAATTAAACAAGTTATAGACAATTAGTTCCAAATGAATTTAAAACTTATTGCTGCTCGTTTGAGTTGGGGTTGCTTTAAATTAAGCAAAAGCTATTTAGCTGAAAAGAGTTACCGTAGGGGACAGGGAAACGTTTTAGAAGGTAATATTCTACAACAGACATGGATGCAGAAAACATCATGGCAAAGGAGGAAGTGGCAGTTGACACCTACAATATTGAAATTTTCGAACGTATTTTACACTCCATCGGGTGTACATACATACATATATATATATATATATAGAAATCCTGTACTGTCAATTGATCTTACAAATTGACACAAAGTAGGAAATTAATTAAACCTGTGGAGGGATTCCCATCTCCAAAAAAAGAGGACCCAAAATGAATCCTCCACCAAGTCCAAGCATGCCTCCGACTATGCCCGCTACAACACCAATGAAACAATAAAAAACAAGTTTGTGCACCGGCCAGTTGTTGGTTGCTTCTCCCTTGGATGCAATCTGTCTCCGCCCTTTGTACAGGCTAAATGCCTCATATGAAGTTACACCAACTGCCACCGGGATCTGAAAAGCAAGAGAAAAATATAGAAACTACTCTTATACCATAGACATAACATTTGATGAATATATACGAAATGATGCAAGCTGCTTAACTATATATGGACTCCTTAACACACAAAAGGTACCTGCAATATGTTCAATAGCCAATATACTGCTGAGCAGGTGGTTGAGTAATTCTGCGACAAACAAACAAACATTGGTTTTACGTTAGCTTAGCTGATCAACACAGAAAAGCAAAGGAACTCAGTCTGTAATGTGAAAATATCAAGTAGTGGTAAAAACCTTGCCAATCTGCAATGCAAGAATGATCACCCAGACAGTGACAAGAATTCCAAGGTTCTTCCAGTAAATGTTCTCCGTAATAAAGATCTGACAAGGTTTCAGAAGTTATTAGTCCTGAAAATCCACAGAAAGGATATTCGGACTGCGTAACTTTTCGTACCTTCTCTTTTTTGGACTCGGTTTCTATTTGATCAGGACTTGTGGAGCCTCCAGGTAGAGTTTTTTCCTCCGCTGCTTCAATTTTGTTGTCAAAAGCATATTTATTAGCCATAAAGGGAGCGGGGAAAATTAGCAAGATAGCTAGAGATTTGAATTTTATATACCACTCACCATAGAATATTTTCTGTACTCCAGCAGCTTCCTGAAAATTTACAAAAACGATTATGGACACGAGGAAACAAATTGAATTAGAATACTATAGATAAACTAGGCTTAGGGGCTAAGGGAAAAGTTAGATGACCTGCTTCGATTTGGTTTCTATTTTCCATGTTTGAACACCTTTAAAGAATGCCTTGGATGATGTTACTGCATGTAACCAGAGATAATGAAAAATGTTTTCAAAGAACGGAACATAGAAAGTAAGTGGCAATAAATACTAGCAGTATCAATACCTATAAAGATAATGATTAGCAAAATTGTGATCATCCAGTCAGCAAAAAGCACATTCAGAGTGACTCCAATACTAACCCCCAGAATCAACATTGGTTGAAACAGAAGTGCCAGATCGTAGTCGATGATCGGCATTTCCAGTGTAGGATGCCTCAATTTTAAATTATATAGAACAGTTGACGCTGCTGCACCAGTGATCATACCTGACAAAGTAAACGGAATTGACGACAATTTTAGAATATATTTTAAGGACACAGTAACGCAGTAGCTATGAGGGTTGATTGAAATTCTGAATCAACTCAGAAATACATCAGGAAAATTTTTCTGTAACTTGATAGAAATTTTTGTCCACCCAAGAGGTATATGTAGCATTTTGTTATGCTTTTCAACTTACAATCCTTCCAACACATTAGCAAATTGTCAACTACATAAATATTATGGGATAAATTTCACTTGCATTTTGATAATGCTGCTGATGATTTGGAATCAAACCCAATAATCAGGGTTAGCATCGGAACAAAAATGCCACCTCCACCCACGCCTCCTACACTCCCACATGCTGCTCCAAAGAAAGCAATTATAGTACCCACAACAATTTTCCAACCAAATTTCATATCCTGCATGCAAATCCAATCTCAAAAGTTAATAGTAAGACAGGAGAAAAGGGAAAAAAAAAAAAAAAAAAAAAAAGAACTCTGAGAAAACAAACATAAATTCGATCCTTATTATTTTCCTACAATTTTGTATGCAGCCAAGCAGATAATTTAACTGAGACAATGGACTTACAGGCCAAACATGTTTGTAACTAGACTGGCTTATTGTTCCATGATGAGACTCGACCTTCTGAGTCCCATTATATGATAAACCTTTTTGTTTCGAACTTGGCTCTGCTACAGCCACCACCAATACTGAAGTTGCAACAATCAAACAAATCAAAATTTTCCCTTTCAGTATTGAACTGCACCACCATTTTGATCCAACTCCGGCCATCAAATTTGTTTGTGTCTTAAAAAAGTCTTTTTCTCTCAAATCCAGACTTCAAACCCCGAAGCTCGAATTCACTGAAAGCTTCAACTTAAGAGAAAAAGGACTAGGTTGTCTATTTATAATAAGAATAATAATAAGTAAATAAACTACGTTGGAAGCTGGATCGCAACCAGGATGAACCAAACTCAAACGTTATGATGAACACCCAGTTTAATCAGCTAGGTGTCCCATTTAACCCTTTGTTTGGATAATTCCTCTTGGGAGGAAAGAAAAGAGAGGAAAGAAAGTGAGAGGAAAAAAAGAAAAAGAAAAGAAAATCATTTTTCACTTGTTGTTTGAATAAGAATGAAAAAGAAATAAAAAAAATACATTTTCCTTATTTGGATAATTGTAAAAAGAGAAAGAAAAAAATATATATTATTATATATTTACTATAATGCCCTTAGGATTATATTTTTATATTTAAATACTTATAATAAATTTGTGATCACCTTTGATCTTTCAATAATAAGCATCTAGTAAACATAATGTTAAACAAAAAATATCTCTCGTGCTAAAATAATTACCATAAACCTAGTTCATATATTTTTCATTTAAAAAAAAACATGACAATAATTAAAATATGCATAGTTTATGGTACAATAAATCAATTTTATATTAATAGAAGTTATTTTATTCCCTATAGATATTGATGTCTCAAAAACTACAGAATGAACTTCTTACACATTCAGCATTACAGTCAAATGGTTTTAACTTCAAGTCAAGGTGCGTCGTGAATAATATTGATAATTAATCATGTTCAAGCCATGAATTTACAAATACGACCCTATGAAAGAAACAAAAGCCTAGCCCGAGAAACCAAATAAACAGACTCCATGGAATTCTAGATGCATGATATCATTGCAAAAATTAGGACATTTATACGCAGCATAGGCTTGATCCAACAAGGGTAAAAACGAGAAAGCAAAAAAAAAATATCAGTTTCAGGTTTCCTTCCAGTTTCCTCTCAAATTTGAGAGGAAAAAGGTCCCATGAAAAAAACATTTATTTTTTTTTCATTTCTTTTCTCTTGTTTCCTATATAATCAAAACAGGGAAAATTTTTCATTTTCATTTTATTTTCTTTCCTCTCCCTCGCTTTCATCCATATCCAAACGGAAGGGTTAGAGATGTACTTGCAACAGACAGGGACGAGAGAATTGAAACTCACAGGCAGTCTCAGATAGGTACCGCTTTTCAAGTAATGATCTGTTAAGAAGTAACTGCCAGAAAGTTTCAACTCTTCAGGTTTTCTTCCTTTTATTTCCTTCCTTTTCGTTTTTGAAAAGAAGCACCAAGCATTTTCAATTGATCAAGAAAACTTTCACCACAGAAATGAATTGCTCGAGCTTCCAAGAACAAGAAATTAACCTTGCCAACAAAATTCACCGCCAGAAAAAAACCGAAGATATATATGTTAGAATATTACTGCATCCAGAGATGCCAGAAGATTTTGACAGATAATATCTTCCCTTTTTTCTTATTGACTTCTGATGATTCTTGCATTTAATTACTTCACTGTCTCCAACGTGTATGCATGTGCGTAATATTGCTTGCGTATAAAGTAGTCTGTAGTGGTATTGAAGAATATTTAGAAATCAATCGCAAGTTTTAACGTTTCCACATATATTATCATTTGCACGTTCTTCAAGCAATACACGCGCGTCCCGTCAACAATGTTGTTGATTCCTTTACTTTTGGAAATCTTAACGAAAAGATACACCATCACGTTCCAGCTCAAGAATGATACATGATGACGCTTGAGTTTGCAGTGCGATGACGCTTGAGTTTGCAGTACAGTTACGAGGTTGAGGGTAGCTCAGTAATATTTGGATTTGATTTTTTTTTTGCGTACGTTTGTCATTTTCGCGATATCTTACCTGTTTATTAAATTTATAAGGGGTTCAGTAGGTCCGAGGATTAATCGAGGTGCACGTAAACTGACCCGAACATTCTGAATTATCAAAAAAAAAAAAATGATACACGATGCACAATCTCTGATATATTTAACTATATATTTTAATATTAGCGCATGCCAACTCACAATAGTAGGGAAATTTATGCAATGTTTAATATATTGTAATGATAGTAAATAAAACACGCTTTGTTTATTGTATACTTAAACACTAATTAAAACAGCTAGAATTATATATATATATATATATATTACTCATAAACTCATTCTCTGATAATTTTTTGGTCCAAGATTTATTTATTTTTTATTATTATTTTTTTACAAGAGGTCCAAGATGGGTTTGATTTTGTTGATAGTTATTTACTAATTTATATACATTTTCTCGGTATGTAGCATGAATTGAATTGATGGACAGGGTGAATATGTCATTGGCACACACGATATTATCAGATATTTTAGCATTAATTAATTGTTTTAAAGCTACGCGTGATATGTTTTAACATCTCTTTACTATTAATTTGTATTAGTTTTTTTTTTCTCTTTAATATGTTTTTATTTTTATTTTTAAATTCATCTTATTTGAATCTTTATTTGACTAAAAGTCATGCATGGTCCTTCAACAAATAACCTATTTAAAATGTTGGCGAATATCCAAATCTTTTTTTATTTAATTTTTCTTTTTTCTTTTTCATCCTCTTTTTTCAATTATCTCTCGCTATCCAACATTTAAGGGATTTTCAAAAAAATAATGCTAAGATAAAAGAATTAAAAAATATATTTTAAAGTCGTCGTCTAATATTAAAAGTAATTAAAAAACTTAAAAAATATTGGATTCAAAGATTCTGAATAAGAGCTGATTATACTTTTATGAATATGACAATCACTCAAATTAATGCATTCTTTTCCAGAAAATGCAACATATTTAGTTTACTTTTAAAAATATCTCCTAAAAATTATATTTGTCGAATTATTTTCTAATTTTATTTACAAACTTAATTATCATCTAGGTCAAATTAATTTTTTTATTTTTAATTGTGATTTTTTTGGATTTTATGAGAGAGAAGTGAGAGTTACAGCGATGGTTGCCATGATGAACAATTATTAGTTTGACTATATTTTGTGATTTTAGATCTAGAGTAAAGTGAAGTGATCAATAAGACGCCAGAGTGTTTAATTTGATTCTGTTTTAAGGTTGAAGATCTGAAGTTCAGTGAAGAAATTGACGGCCATTTATGGAGACAGAGGTGATTAGATTTTTAGATCTGAAGTAAAGAAGATGACGAGTATTTATAGAGATAAAGGTGAAGATAGGTAATAAATTTCTGTGTAGTATAGACAGCGTATAGGATGTTAAAAAAAGCTAGACAATACAAACTAAGATACAAATTAGTACTGGTAAAAAAATATCTAAGAATGAGCAAGGGATAATATTTAGAAGGTATGGAATGATTCAGGTTTTGTGTGTCTCTTATAATCTTATAATTATTTTGGAGTTAATAGTTGCAAAAGACTTTTTATTTTATTTTTTCTAAAGTAAAAGCGAGATAGCGAGCATAAGAAGAAGTAATTATAAGATAATAGTCGATGGTAAGTAAATGTTAACTTGTAAAGTAGGTTTAGAATTTAATTTTTATGATTAATATTTCTGAAAATTTATTCTCGGAATACTCGAAATCATATGTTAGAAAGTGTTTTTTAACCACATTTAAAAAGAGATTGGTTTTAAAATGTACGAAAATTGATCCAAGTGTATCTTTATTGTTGAAAAAAAAAATTGAAGAGAAGTAAATTTTTATGTGGCATAGAGAGTGTATAATTAAGATGTAAGAAAAGATCAGACAGCACAAACACATATTAAATTTAGTATGGATAAAAATATCTAAGAATGAGTAGGGAATAATATTTAAAAGGTATGGAATGATTCAAATTTTGAGTGTGCTTTGTAATTATTTTGGAATTAACAATTACAAAGGTTTTTTTTTTTGGCATTTTAAAAGCAAAAATTTTATGCTTGGTAAGTTAGCTTAGACGATAAGTGAGTTTTGCTTTTTGTATTATTATTTTATATTCATTCTCATTAACTTACGTATAGATAATTAATGTGTTTAGATTTTTATCGAAACAACTATTATCGATACATGAAATTTTGATTTGAAAATAGAAAATATCAAAAATTAATTATCAAAAACCAAAAGTTTTTTTTTTTTTAATGCATAAAAAAAGGGTCTTCGCCCTTCAAGCAAAAAATTCAATACCTCCCACAAAATTTTGACGAGTAAAATTTGGTGCATGCAAACCTGAACTGGTCCCAAGCTACATGTCTCTAAAATTAATTCTTCATAAATAAATTCGGATGAATGCCCCTTTCAGACCAGCACCAAGTCCTTATCCTTGACAGCTGCCTCATAATTGTGAAATTCAACAACTCATGTACTTTTTACCAAAATATAGTCAGTAAATGTTAATATTGCAAAGAGAGAACAACATAAAAAATTAATGATCTCACATAATATTAGAGTTTCAAAAAATACAAAGATTTCAAATATTTATGATGAAATTAATTTAACTTGAGAGATAACTTATATTATTATTATATTTGCTTTTTAAATTTATAAAAAAACTTAAGTGATTGTATTATCATTATTATTATTATTATTTATTATAGTAGATTATCTTGTGATTTTACTCTTTTATGATATAGAGGTTTTTTTATGTAAATTTAGTCTTTTTATTGTTGTGTTTTTATAATTGATTTATTTTATATTTTTAATTGTTGTGTGTGTTTGATATTATTATTTTCTCATAAAATATCTTGATAGAGAGTTGGGAGACACATTTGTGTAGGTTATAAAAAGAGTCCCTGGTATTAATCGATCCCAGCTCACAAGGATTAAGGAGGATGGTTTGGCAATCTACCTGATAGATATTCTTACCCACACACCCCTCAGTCGCCCCCATAATCAATATCTGGTCCCCCCCAATCAAGACCTAGACCTGGTACTTGACTTCAGCACATGCACATGGCATCTACAGTATTTTTTTTTGCAAAAAGACAAGTGACGTGTTTCTCTTTGCGTAATCAAAGTTATAATAACTCGAAGGTCTGGAGGAAAAATCCCAACTAAACATTCGTCTGCAGGTTTTTCCTTGAAGATGGTGAGTATTTGGTTTTTTTTTTTTTTTTTTTTAGTTTTTAATATTTTGGTTTAATATTAAATTCACTGTACTCACCGAAGAGAAAAATCAAATCCAAACCAAATTTCTATCTTTTTTTTTTTTTACTTTATGAAGCCAAAAAATTCAGCTTCCGTTAAAAATATTTTTTTAAAATAATATAAATAGGTTAAAATAACTGTGTTATGAATTATGAAGTCATTTCTCTAATTCAAATACTCTACATTAGTTATATAAAAGATAACACATACTTGTTTAAATAAGACTAAACCACAGACCCATACAATATAAGAAAGCATTAAAATTTAAATATAAGTCTCCTAGTCCATATCTAAAATATATAATAATAAAAAATCAATGATTGTTTAAATATGTTGTAAATCGAACTATCAAAATTTAAACATGTTCTATATAAAAATAAAATCAATTTTTATAAAAAAAAATTAAAAATTGAATAGAAATTAATTCAATTTTGGTTTTTAAAATTTAATTTAATTAAAAATAAATAAATTGGTATTCTGATTTCGGTTGAGTTCAGTTAATTGGTTTTAATCGAATACTTTTCAACCTTATTAACATGTTTTTTTTTGTTGTCAATAAAAAAATATTTTTATAGCAATTTGTAAGTCGATCCAGATTAAATCTTGTTTTGGGACGATTTTATGAACTTACATTTCACATCAATCCTTTATATTCAGATAAATTTATTGACCTTAAGATTTGAATCTAAAAAAATCAAGGAAGATAAAATATCTTTTTCAATCCCTGGACGAACCCATTTGCGTCTACACGTTATTCTTTGCCAAACTTTTCCCTACTTCTAACGCTAATGGGTTGAAAGAATTTCATCAGTGGTACTGGTCGTAATATTCTCCGATCCAAAGCGATTGCAATGGCTTGGATGCTAATAAGTTTGAATAATAGCCCATGAAGAAGCTCGTCCAACAATCTCAATCCATGCACAATGAGAAGCCCAAAATGAATTGCAGATTTCATTTTTTCTTTTCCCTTTCTCTTAGAAAACCATTACAAGCTTCCGAATTTGCAGAAAAAGTAGAAAGGTGATCAAAACTAATTTGTCGTTTGAAGGAAAAATTAACACGAATGATATTCTTGAAATGCAGTCCGGGATAGATAATAGTTCGTTGAAACTTGGAATTAGGTCTAATTCTCAATTGGGTAACCAAAGTAAATTTCTTCAATTGGGTTCCCCGCCTCTTATAATTTCTCAATCCTATCCCCATTATCCACATCTGTTGATGCTTTCCATCTAAATTTCATAGTTTATGCAATAAAAGAATTCCGTTTCAAAATAATTCAACATTTTCCTTTCAACCTTTGTGATGATTTTAGAAAAGGAGCCCAATTGATAAAATCTGATAGGTGAGGGATTCAATTGAAAAATATACTTGTTTAGAGACTACACTGAAAATTAATAGTTGAGAGCTATAAGATGGTGGTTTGTCAGTCCAAAATAAATAATCTCCAACGTAATTAATCAAGTTTCATGTCCCGTTCATTCACAGATTCTGTAAATTTTGATGACGTAAGCTAGATGCGAATCTAAACTTGATTTTCTAAGAGTTTAATAACAGATTTACTCTTGAAATACGAACTATTAAAGTTACAATACGTTTATGACATATATGTTTAATTTAATCAATTTTATTCTTCAGCTATTATGTTTTATGTAAATATTATCTTTTTGTTTGATTTGGTTGTTAAGTCAAAGGGTTAAAGTTTGAAAGTTGATTAAAACTCATCCTAAAGAAACAATATTTTAGTATTTTCAACTAAAAATTTTCATATCCATCTTCACAAATAATTTCAATTTTTATTTTAAGTAAGAAATTATTGTTATTATTTTTTTGAACAATAACAATTCTATAAATTATGAAAAAATAGAAGGAAAAAAACTGGAATTGTCTCAATTTTTTTTTGGAAAACTCTAAGGAGATCATATGAATTTCCGTACATAATTTTAGTGTGGTTCTCAAAATATTTGCTTATAAGAATCCCAAAAATTCTCTATTTTAAGTTTTGATTTGGTTGTATGCAGTCAACTGTGTAAATATGTCAAGAATTGTAATAAGACTAAACAGATAAATAGATATACCTTTTTTATAGGGTCTCCTAAAAAAATGGAGATCACTCTAAATTATTTTCTATCTTTTACGATTTTGTATATATTAATGTTTAAACAAATTAAAAAATACTTCCTAATCTCAAAAAAAAAATTGAAATTATTTTGAAAATAGATTGAATTTTTATTAACAATATATGAAAATTTTTAGTTCAAACTATCAAAATTTAATAATTTAAAGGGATTTTTCGATCAATAATAAAAGTTAAATCAAAGAGAGGATAATATTTGTTTAAAATATGATAATTCAACAACAAAATTAACTAAATCAATAGTACAAAATTCAATGTGTCACAACTCCAATAGTTCAGGAATAAAAATACCATCAAACCATTTTTTAAGTGAACAATAACAATTAGTCAATCCATTTGGAAATAAATACAAAGAATCTCTGAAAGAAAGGGGTGTACCTAGAAGCTAGGAATAAGGCCAGCATTGAACTTCAAGAGAGAGCCGCTGGTCCAAGGATCCGACAAAAAACATTCACAAGAATTAATGTATATGATCAACTTGGATATATAGGACGGACAGAAAAAAGAAATATAGGCAACATTAACTATAATAGTAGGGTATTAAACTGCATGAACAAAGATAAAACTAATTACTGAAAATAATTCGTTTGAGAAGAAGAGTTCTAATTATTTAAATAAATAGATATGAATTCGAATCTTTGTCTTTATCTTATATATATATATATGATAAAACAACAGAGTATTAATAAGAATTTTGAATCTTGCATAGTTTAGAGGATAAAAAAAATGAAAATAAAAATAATTGATATTGCTTGAGAACTAGCACCATTAATTGCTGATGCTGAGGCGATACAAGAGCTAATGTACTAATCAAGAATGAGATGACCAAGGAAGAAAAGCCAAATTTGACAAATTAATTAATTGTTCAGCTTCTTCCTATGAACAAATGCTTTCAAACCCCAGGTACTCATTCCTCTCAAACTTTTTGATCATGCGTGCCGTGCCAACTCCACCTGTTTGAAAAGAAGCAAAACCCTTCAGCTAAATCATATATGTATATATTTACGAGACTAATTAATGAGACGAATCTCAAAATATGGAACAATTTTATATGTTTGTTAATGCCACGATATACATACCTGATGATAGTGCACTCACGAATATTGTAAAGGCCAGAATGAAGATGATTAGAGATGCTCTCCCTAATATACTAATCAGCTTTCTCACCACATGTTGCCCAGCCACGGCAGCAATGGTGGTCACGGCGAAGAAGTAGAGAGCTGCATGTGTTGAAATTAAACAAGATATAGCCAATTAGTTCCAAATGAACTTAAAACTTATTGCTGCTCGTTTGAGTTGGGGTTGCTTAATTTAAATTAAGCAAAAACTATTTAGCTGAAAAGAGTTACCGTAGGGGACAGGGAAACGTTTTAGAAGGTAATATTCTACAACAGACATGGATGCAGAAAACATCATGGCAAAGGTGGCAGTGGCACTTGACACCTACAATATTGAAATTTTCGAAAGTATTTTACCCTCCATCGGGTATATATATATATAGAGAGAGAGAGAGAGAGAAATCCTGTACTGTCAATTGATCTTACAAATTGACACAAAGTAGGAAATTATTTAAACCTGTGGAGGGATTCCCATCTCCAAAAAAAGAGGACCCAAAATGAATCCTCCACCAAGTCCAAGCATGCCTCCGACTATGCCCGCCACAACACCAATGAAACAATAAAAAACAAGTTTGTGCACCGGCCAGTTGTTGCTTGCTTCTCCCTTGGATGCAATCTCTCTCCGCCCTTTGTACAGGCTAAATGCCTCATATGAAGTTACACCAACTGCCACCGGGATCTGAAAAGCAAGAGAAAATATATAGAAACTACTCTTATACCATAGACATAACATTTGATGAATATATACGAAATGATGCAAGCTGCTTAACTATATATGGACTCCTTAACACACAAAAGGCACCTGCAATATGTTCAATAGCCAATATACTGCTGAGCAGGTGGTTGAGTAATTCTGCGACAAACAGACAAACATTGGTTTTACGTTAGCCTAGCTGATCAACACAGAAAAGCAAAGGAACTCAGTCTGTAATGTGAAAATATCAAGTAGTGGTAAAAACCTTGCCAATCTGCAATGCAAGAATGATCACCCAGACAGTGACAAGAATTCCAAGGTTCTTCCAGTAAATGTTCTCTGTAATAAAGATCTGACAAGGTTTCAGAAGTTATTAGTCCTGAAAATCCACAGAAAGGATGTTCAGACTGCGTAACTTTTCGTACCTTCTCTTTTTTGGACTCGGTTTCTATTTGATCAGGACTTGTGGAGCCTCCAGGTAGAGTTTTTTCCTCCGCTGCTTCAATTTTGTTGTCAAGAGCATATTTTTTAGCCATAAAGGGAGGGGAAAAAATTAGTAAGATATATAGCTAGAGATTTGAATTTTATATACCACTTACCATAGAATTTTTGCTGTACTCCAGCAGCTTTCTGAAAATTTACAAAAACGATTATGGACACGAGGAAACAAATTGAATTAGAATACTATAGATAAACTAGGCGTAGAGGATAAGGGAAAAGTTAGATGACCTGCTTCAATTTGGTTTCTATTTTCCATGTTTGAACACCTTTAAAGAATGCCTTGGATGATGTTACTGCATGTAACCAGAGATAATGAAAAATGTTTTCCAAGAACGGAACATAGAAAGTAAGTGGCAATAAATACTAGCAGTATCAATACCTATGAAGATAATGAGTAGCAAAATTGTGATCATCCAGTCAGCAAAAAGCACATTCAGAGTGACTCCAATACTAACCCCCAGAGTCAACATTGGTTGAAACAGAAGTGCCAGATCGTAGTCGATGATCGGCATTTCCAGTGTAGGATGCCTCAATTTTAAATTATATAGAACAGTTGATGCTGCTGCACCTGTAATCATACCTGACAAAGTAAACGGAACTGACGACAATTTTAGAATATATTTTAAGGACATAGTAACGCAGTAGCTATGAGGGTTGATTGAAATTCTGAATCAACTCAGAAATACATCAGGAAAATTTTTCTGTAACTTGATAGAAATTTTTGTCCACCCAAGAGGTATATGTAGCATTTTGTTATGCTTTTCAACTTACAATCCTTACAACACATTAGCAAGTTGTCAAATACATAAATATTATGGGATAAATTTCACTTGCATTTTGATAATGCTGCTGATGATTTGGAATCAAACCCAATAATCAGGGTTAGCATCGGAACAAAAATGCCACCTCCACCAACGCCTCCTACACTCCCACATGCTGCTCCAAAGAAAGCAATTATAGTACCCACAACAATTTTCCAACCAAATTTCATATCCTGCATACAAATCCAATCTCAAAAGTTAATAGTAAGACAGGAGAAAAGAAAAAAAAAAGAACTCTGAGAAAAACAAACATAAATTCGGTCCTTATTATTTTCCTACAATTTTTTACGCAGCCAAGCAGATAGTTTAACTAAGACAATGGACTTACAGGCCAAACATGTTTGTAACTAGACTGGCTTATTGTTCCATGATGAGACTCGACCTTCTGAGTCCCATTATATGATAAACCTTTTTGTTTCGAGCTTGGCTCTGCTACAGCCACCACCAATACTGAAGTTGCAACAATCAAACAAATCAAAATTTTCCCTTTCAGTATTGAACTGCACCACCATTTTGATCCAACTCCGGCCATCAAATTTGTTTGTGTCTAAAAAAGTCTTTTTCTCTCAAATCCAGACTTCAAACCCCGAAGCTCGAATTCACTGAAAGCTTCAACTTAAGAGAAAAAGGACTAGGTTGTCTATTTATAATAAGAATAATAATAAGTAAATAAACTACGTTGGAAGCTGGATCGCAACCAGGATGAACCAAACTCAAACGTTATGATGAACACCCAGTTTAGGTGTCGCATTTAAGAGATGTACTTGAAACAGACAGGGACAAGAGAGAATTGAAACTCACAGGCAGTCTCTGAATATTTATGCAGGAATGACAATGTTAGCGGCAGTCATTAGGGCAATGGCTGGGCCTCCAACACATGCTCCTCATGCCATGCCGCTTTTCAAGTAATGATCTGTTAAGAAGTAATGATCTTATTTGAATCTTTATTTGACTAAAAGTCATGCATGGTCCTTCAACAAATAACCTATTTAAAATGTTGGCGGATATCCAAATCTTTTTTTATTTAATTTTTCTTTTTCATCCTCCTTTTTTCAATTATCTCTTGCTATCTGACATTCAAGGGACTTTCAAAAAAATAATACTAAGATAAAAGAATTAATAAAAATATTTTGAAGTCGTCATCTAATATTAAAGGTAATTAAAAAACCTAAAAAATATTGGATTCAAAAATTTTAAATAAGAGCTGATTATACTTTTATAAAGATGACAATCACCCAAATTAATGCATTCTTTTCCAGAAAATGTACCATATTTAGTTTACTTATAAAAATATCTCCTAAAAATTATATTTGTTGAATTATTTTCTAATTCTATTTACAAACTTAATTATCATCTAGGTCAAATTAATTTTTTTATTTTTAATTGTGATTTTTTTGGATTTTGTGAGAGAGAAGTGAGAGTTACAGCGATGGTTGCCATAACGAACAACTATTAGTTTGATTGTATTTTGTGATTTTAGATCTAGAGTAAAGTGAAGTGATCAATAAGACGTCCGAGTATTTAATTTGATTCTGTTTTAAGGTTTTAGATCTGAAGTTCAGTGAAGAAATTGACAACCATTTATGGAGACAGAGGTGATTAGATTTTAGAATTGAAGTAAAGAAGATGACAAGTATTTATAGAGATAGAGGTGAAGATAGGTAATAAATTTATGTGTAGTATAGATAGCGCATAGGATGTTAAAAAAAGCTAGACAGTACAAACTAAGATACAAATTAGTACTGGTAAAAAAATATCTAAGAACGAGCAGGGGATAATATTTAAAAGGTATAGAATGATTCAAGTTTTGTGTGTCTTTTATAATTATTTTGGAGTTAATAGTTGCAAAAGTCTTTTTATTTTATTTTTCCTGAAGTAAAAGCAGATAGCGAGCATAAGAAGAAGTAATTATAAGATAATAGTCCACTGTTAAGTAAATGTTAACTTGTAAAGCAGATTTAGAATTTAATTTTTATGATCAATATTTCTGAAAATTTATTATTAGAATACTCAAAATCATATATTGGAAAATGTTTTTTAACCACATTTGAAAAGAGATTAGTTTTAAAATATGTGAAAATTGATCCAAGTGTATCTTTATTGTTGAAAAAAAAATTGAAGAGAAGTAAATTTTTATGTGGCATAGAGAGTGTATAATTAAGATGTAAGAAAAGATCAGACAGTACAAATACAGATGAAATTTAATGTGGATAAAAATATCTAAGAATGAGTAGAGGATAATATTTAAAAGGTATAGAATGATTCAGATTTTGATTGTGCTTTGTAATTATTTTGGAATTAACGATTGCAAAGGTTTTTTTTTACATTTGAAAAGCAAAAATTTTATGCTTGGTTAGTTAGCTTAGACGATAAGTGAGTTTTGCATTTTGTATTATTATTTTATATTCATTCTCATTGTTTTACGTATAAATAATTAATGTGTTTAAATTTTTTTCGAAACAACTATTATCGATACATGAAATTTTGATTTGAAAATAGAAAATATAAAAACTGAAATATCGAAAAACAAAAGTTATTATTTTTTTTTAATGCATCAAAAAATGGTCTTCGCCCTTCAAGCAAAAAATTCAATACCTCCCACAAAATTTTAACAAGTAAAACTTGGTGCATGCAAACCTGAACTGATCCCAAGCTACATGTCTCTAAAATTAATTCTTCATAAATGAATTCCGACAAATGCCCCTTTCAGACCAGCACCAAGTCCTTATCCTTGACAGCTGCCTCATAATTGTGAAATTCAACCACTCATGTACTTTTTACCAAAATATAGTCAGTAAATATTAATATTGCAAAGAGAAAACAACATAAAAAATCAGCGGTTCAATTCATTTACTCCACAAGTTTTCCTTTCCAAATGATAGTTGCATCCACGATAACATTAACTACTACTATTTTGCAGCATCTTGGTAGCTAGCACTCTATTAGTTCATGACCAAAAGACAAAGATACAGATGCTAATATTTGGTCTTCTGTGTTGATATTCTGCATGTAAAACTTTCAAATAACTAAAAACAAGAGGTAAGAGTTTTGAAATCGTTATCTAATATGAAAAAAAAGAAATTTAAGAAAATATTGGATTCAGAAATTTTAAATAAAAAGTTATTTATGTTAATTGAAAATATAAGAATAATCAAAATGCATTCTTTTTGAAGAAAGATATCGAGTTTAATGTAATCGTAAATGTCATCCTCTAAAAGTAATGTTTTCCAAAATATTTTTTAAGTTTATTTTCAAACTTATTCAGTTTGTCAAAGTCAAAAAAAATATATATATATATTTTTTATCATGAAATCGTATTAAATTAAAATCAAATCTTAAAATCACATGTCTATTCATTTAGCATTGAATCTAGTAGTTTCTAATAAAGGCTCAACTGAAACGGATTTAAAACAAATAAATAAAGAATATTAAAACAAATAAAAGTAGAGAGAAATTAATATTAAATCAGGAGCAAAACGACATATAAAAGCTTTTAACCCTTTAGATTCGCTAGGTCAACATGTTCTGTGATTATGCTGCCATATATATACTGGTTTTCTTACCTATTCAATTATATATTTAATATATTTCTCCTAAATTTTCATGAATTTATTCAATAGTTAATAGATTAAAAAACAAGTCCATATATATTTATTGCAAGTATTCCTAAAACATAATCGTTAAAAGTTTCGTATAATAACTAAAACAATATACTAAGAAAATAAAATAAAAAATCAAGTACGTTTATTAGAAGTATGTTGAAAACTAAAACAATATTCTTTCCATTGCTCAAACGAGTCTATATATACCACAAATACATAAGGTCTATATAAAGATATGGCAGTTTTAATATAATTTTATAATTTTTGATAGTTAATTATTAATTTTTATTGATTTAATTTTAAGTGTTTTTAAACATTTTCTACGATTTGTACTTGATTTTAACTAGCAGAACTCTAATAATGAAATTTCGGTTAAATGGGCCAATTTTTTAAAAACTTCAGCTCATTCAAAAATGAATCTTTGAGTTTGTAATTTCAGATTTGATCTTTCATGAACTTTATCCTTTTTTTAAATTTAGTTCATCATATGATTTTCAGTTATCACTCTATCTTTTAAAAAATTTAATTATTGGTGTTTTAAACTGAATTTTTTGCACATACGTTAATAAAAATTCAATCCACTTTCTAGATAAATCCTAAAAGTTTTCAAGTTTGGAAAATATATTTTTATTTTTTAAACATTAAAAATATAAAAAAAAATCAAGAAATTTAAAAAATAACTCAGAATGATCTCAATTTTTTTTAGAACGTTCTAGATAAATTTTATTAAATGTTTTCTACCCCATGAGACCAGTATTTTTTATATATATAAATTAAAAAATAAACTAAATATTGTTTTAAAAAATAAAGTTTAGCAAAAGTCAAAATCAAAGTTAAAAATTAAAAGAAAAAAAAAACCTGATTTTTAAATAAATCAAAATTCAAAAGAATTTTTTTTTTTTTTTTTTTTTTGACTCATTTGGCCTAAAATTTCTGTAAGTTACATGCCTAACCAAGACATGCGTGTTTTTGAGGAGCCAGGCTTGCTAAGAGGGCTTCATTTGATATCCTCTGTAGCGGAGTAAATTATAAATTAGTCACTTTCGTTTTGAAAAACGAATTAATTAGTTTTTAAAATAAAACTTAGTTTCTTATGTTTTAATTTTATGAATAGTTTAGTGTTTCATCAATTTTCCGTTAGATTAATGACTTTTTTTCCTGCACTGCATTTTCTTTAATGCTTTATTTTATTTTATTTTTCATCCACTTTCTTTCTCTCTTCTCAACTAAAAATTAAAGGGTAATTTAAAAAAAAATATTAATTTAACAAAAAACTGATAAAAACTAAATTATTGAAAAAATTAAAATATAAATGACTAAATAGTTAGTTTTTGAAAGAAAAAAATATTAATTAATTCATTTTTCTAAACAAGAAGGACTAATTTATAATTTACTTCTTTGTAGCATATGGATCCTTGCTGCTGGCGAAGGCCTGTGCAGATCCGGGAAGGCTTTTTTTTTTTTTTTAATTATTATTTGTCAATTACGAGTCATCCTGTGAAGAATTGTTAATTGAAATATTTAGGATGTGATTGGGCTTTGAGGATCCATGAGTATTAATTTTTATTTTTATTTTTTTACTTTGAGCTCATATTTTGATAGTAAAATCTTCCATCCCTTTTACAGTGAAGATAAGCAAGTTGACTGAAATAAATGACTTTTGTGTTGATTCTCTCTCTTTTGTTTTTAATTTTTTTTTTTTAATAATGATAGCTTTCATTAATCAAAGCCAATTAACAAAACTGGTTGCAAGTTTGTACAGGTTACAAACAAAACAGAAATTACAATTTATATAGAACTGATCATTGCATATCCTAATTTCTGTAAAAAAAAAAAAAATGACCTTTAAAATAAACAAAAACTGAAACAAATGTGTTTCAGAAAAAAACACATAAGCAAATAAAATAAAATAAAAACATTATAAATTAAT